AGACTATTGACACAGTGAAGACAAGTAATATGTATAGATGTATATATAAGTGGAAAAGAAAACGAATCCTGTAGTTCAAAATGATGTTTGATACATATGCATACTCATTGAATAGTTAACCGAAAGGAAATAAGTACAAGAGAAATGTGAACTACAAATAAAAACGCAAACATAATTTAAAATAACTTCATCATAGGATTGAAAAAATTATATTAAAAATATAAAACTGATATTAATCTGTTTAAGTTAAATACATATAAGTGGTTACTGAAAAGAGAGAGAAAATAAGATGAAAATAGGTAGGAGTGGTTCGATTGAAGACGTGTTCAGGGTATGAGACCTCCCTCTCCCGTCGCCCATTCCCGCCAAATCCAGAATACATTTTGTTTTTTCTCAGTTGGACCATCAATTTTTCATACGTTCTTTTAGAAAAAAAAACCTTTACACTCTGTCAACAGATCGCGATCCCCCTCCTTCAATGCTCGTTCTCTCAGACCAGACATGAAAGCAGATGTATGCATTATGATCAGATGTAAGAAGAGAGATCTACATTAAAGAATGTTTCAATTGAAAAAAATGACATTTTTATAATAAATATTTTAAAGAATTTGTTCTTTTGCATTTAAAATTTTTGAATCAAACAAATATATTTCATAAATAAATTATTATTATTATTATCTTCTATATTATTTTTCTTATTGGTTAATATTCGTAGCCAATAAGATCTTTAGGTAATATAATAAGTTAACAAAAAATAGTTTGATTACTTTAATTATTTTGTTCTAATATTATATTATTTTTATTATTGAAATTAATTATTAGAATGTCTGAAGAATATTGGATTATATCCGTTCCAGGAAAATCAACACCGAGACAAAGTTTTGATGAAGTTAGTCAAGCCACTGCACGGGATCAATTATCTGTTAATTATATATTTAATATTCCTGATTTAAAGGCAAAGTTAATAAACAAAATAATATTTTCTTAAATCATGTCGTTTTTCATATCGTAGGTTGGTACACTCGATTCACTTGTTGCACTTTCGGATGATCTTGCTAGACTTGATATTTATATCGAAGGGTATATATAAATACAAGAAAAACAAAATTTCTCTATCTAAATCTAAAACCTAAATTGTTTTAGAGTTTCTAAAAAATTAACACAATTTTTCTTTCATGATATTCTTGATAATGATCGTAATCGTTTTGCAGAAAATCTTGTTGTTGGATCAAATGGTTGTATGTATTTTGTTGTCAATTATTTTCTATTATTAATTAAACCATAATTTAGTTGATCCAATACGATATATTACGGAATTTCAATGGGATCATGCAAAATATCCAACTAAACAATCATTAAAAAATCTCTCAGAAATTATTTCAAAAGTATGTTATTAGCGTTTGTTCCTGATTGAACTCTTCGAAAGGAGCGATTCATAACTTCGTAAAGATGAACATTTTTTTTGGGAAACATAGACACGTAGTATGTGATACAATGATCATGAAATCTTCAGAAGGGAGGGGGAAGCACATTTAATTTTCTGAGAACGGTCGTCTCCTAGATCTGCATGCTACAAAAAAACACGGTATATTATTTAAAAATCAATTCTATTCATATCTACCTACCGATCGGAATAGTATGCATAATTCTTAAGGATAAACCATGGCGCATAATATTGCTAATATTTTTTTTTTAGACTGGATCGTTTACTAGAGCCCAGCTGGACCCAAGAAAATTTGTACCCAACGGGTTCTAATCGTTTGAGAAATGTACAGGTTGCACTTGTTATCGAATACAGAAAAAGAAAAAAAAGTATATTGTATCTTCACGGCAACTATCCAATTCTGATTAGGAAATTTCCTTGAAAGTATCAAAGTATGGTTCGATTGAATTTGAAAATTTTAGATCCGACGTTCTCTATCATTCCATGAAGATGTAATTTAGAAATTGAAATCAGTTCCAATACCATTAAAACTGGTCTTGAAAAGTTTTTTTCTCATGTTTATTCTTTCATTTTGATATATACACAGAAGAATCATATGTCAGATAGCTTTAAAGAGCTAAAGGAATTCTGAAAAAAAAAATTTCAAAATTTTAAAAACAAACTTAAGATTAAGACTGGAGAAAGATCAATGTGATCTTGTTAAATCTTATTTTGAAGAATTTGAGAATACATAGCAAATGAAATGGAGGTAATAATAAATAAGATCAGTTTGATTTGTTTTTGTTTGAATGCAATAAACGAGAGAAGTACTCGAAGCAATTAATCGTATTTGACCCGATAGTTTGGACATGTAGCGAAGATATTCAGATTAGAATAATCTTTAAAGGATTTAGATTTCTGGCAAGAATAAATTGAGATATTTAATTTTTAGCGGATTATGCCTGTAGAATGTGAACTTCCTTTGAAGTCACATATTTTTATGAATTTTGATCTGAAACTTTGTACATAAGAAGATGTCAGCTAAATTGATTTGTATAAAAGATTTTAGAATTATTCGGCATCTTGTCTTTAAGATATAAAGTTCTCAAATTAAAATCGTTTTTTTTTGATAGAATATCTATAAAATATTGAATATTTTGAAAACTTATTAAAGATTCAGATCTAATAATTGAACAACTGAATTTGAAAAAAGATGTCAGCTTGCATCGTCATTTGCTAGATTAATATTGAAACAGACATTACAATTTCGAATATAATCTCGAATACGTAATACTTGAAAGATGCTGTGTGAATCTTTTTCAAGCAAGATATATCAAATTGAACAAGTGAATATATTAGAATTAATTTTGCTTTTTAGGCAACAACTCATATTGAGAATGAACTTAAACTTCGTAGTCAATTATATAATAATGTTAAACAAAATTTAGAATCATTCTTAAAAAAACAGACGTATGAACTTTCTCTTATTATTTATTTCTTTTTCTTTTTTTCTTAATTAAAAATTTTCATTTTAGTGGTAGTTTACTAACACGTAATTTAAATGACATTGTAAAAAAAGAACATTTTATATTGGGTAGTGAATATTTAAAAACTTTATTAGTATGTGTACCAAAAGCATTAATGAATGATTGGTATGCAAAATATGAAACATTATGTGCCATGATTGTACCACGTACAACTGAATTAATAATACAAGATCAAGATTATGCTTTATTTACTGTAACATTATTTCAAAAAACTGAAGATACATTTCGACATAAATGCCGAGAAAATAAGTATGTTAGATATCAGAAAATAGCATGAGAATTATTGTTTATTTGGTTTTGTATTTGAAGATTTACTGTACGAGATTTTACGTTTGATGAAAAAGCATTTACAAATGAACGTGATAAAATTCGAGAACTTGAAATAGAACAACAAAAACTTTATGCTAATCTTGTTCGTTGGCTTAAAATCAATTTTGGTGAAATTTTCTCAGCATCAATGCATATCAAAGCTTTACGTGTTTTTGTTGAATCTGTTCTAAGGTAACTGATAGGAATCCTTATATAAATGTTTACAAACCGTTTGCATTTGATACACACATTTTGTTGATTATGAAATAGATATGTGCAGGGTAGGGCAAAGATAAGAAAATTTTTGTCAATCACGGTACAAGATAGGAAGAAAGCCTATCTTCCACATCTTTTTTATGAAATAATGACATTAGTAAGAATCAAGCTTTAACGAGACTGTATATGGATGTCATAAAACTAATAAGAATGGTCTTAATAATGAATTGAAGCGTTCATCTACAAATTTACATGCAATGGATAAATCTATACCAATTTGTGAGTGAAGTTTACTCGTCAGCAGTAAGGTATCATTTAAAATGGATGATCTAAAATGTTTTAGAGAAAATATTTTGTTCGTTTCTACTAAGTTTGAAAGTATTTCAGAAGATTCAATAAGTACTTCTTCGAATCTAGATATTTCTCGTGTTTCTTTAAAACTGTGAATAATATGTTTCGACGACAAACAAATAAATGTCTATAATGTAATCTTGATTTTAAGCTAAAATATTTTTCCATAAATTACTTTTTACATAAAATGCAATTGATTTATCAAGAAGGAAATACTAGAGTAAAATGGAAACACTGATCAAAATAAAACTGAAAAAAAAATTGTTTAAATCATTTTTCATATTTAAAAAAAGTTCTCTCGCTATCATCAAGCGAAAACAAAGGACAACTAGTTCATCAAATGAAGTGTAAAAATCCAATCGAAATCGCGAGAGTACTTGACTAAATCTTGTAAAAACAATAGGCTATTTTAATGATATATCTTAGGTCAAACTCTATAATCTACTTTATTGTTTTGATACAGATATGGTTTACCAGTAAATTTTGTCGCTATTATTATTCATCCAACCCGAAAATCAACGAAACGTTTGCGTGACATGCTTGATCAATTATTCGGCTATCTCGATCAATCAGATAGATCAAGATATGATGAAGTAAGATAAAAAGCACATTAAATATATTTTTTCATTGAATTCTCTTTTCTGTTTCCTAGCCAATTGATATTCCCGGCGTATTTTCATTACAACAAGAATATTATCCATATGTTTATTTTAAACTAGATCTTGATTATATTGATATGAATAAAAAATAAATAGAAATTTCTCATATTTTTTCTGTGACATTTTTTTGGTATGCAATTAATTTTAAACTTTTTATTTAAAACAAAAAAAAAACGAAACACATTTATTTCTTATCTTTGTTTTTATGACTAACATGATCTTTGAATGAATAAAATGAATATCAGTTCTTTTTCTTTTTCATCGTCATATTGCCTTAGTTTTCACATACAATGTGTATCTTTTGTCTATAATACAAAGATTGTGTTTAGAGCAAAGAGTTCGACATTATTTGGATTTTGCTTTTTTTTATCACGCATGCATGGAATATAAATTAGCTGTTATTAAGAGAGAGAGAGAAAGAGCTCATTAGAAAGTCAATAAATAATGACTATTCTGTTCTCTACTCATTTTAGATTGATTGATTTCATCAACTAAATGGCATCAAGTGAAATTAGTGAACAACCATGTTTAATTTCTGCTGTAGAATTAGTCGGTGCAGGTGGATATGATAAACTTCGAATTAAAAAAACTTCATATCGAGCACCAAATCCTAATGAAGTAGTCATACGTGTTAAATTTGCTGGACTCAATTTTGCTGATTTAATGAGACGGTGAGAAATACTCTTCTTTTGAAATTTTTCGATTTCGATTTTATCGAATAATTTTGTCTTAAAATATTAGGCAAGGTCTCTATTCACCAGCACCTAAATTTCCATATGTTCCTGGTTTTGAAGCATCAGGTATTGTAGAAGCAATTGGCTCAAATGTTTCTGAGTTGGCTGTGAGTGACCGTGTTGTTGCATTTGCTGGTGATGGTATGTGGGCTGATGTTGTAACTCTTCCAAGTGATCATTGCTTTAAAATACCTGATAAGATGTCGTTCGAAGAAGGAGCTGCTTTACTTGTTAATTATATAACTGCCTATCAAATCTTATTTGAATTTGGAAATTTACGACCAAATAAAAGCGTACTTATACATATGGCAGCAGGTAAACAACAAAAAAATAAAACAAAAGGTTGTTTTTTTCTAATCTTCAACTTTAATTATAGGTGGTGTTGGTATTGCGGCTATTCAATTATGTAGAACAGTTGAAAACGTAACAGTTTTTGGAACAGCTTCAGGTTCAAAACATAATATTATCAAAGAAGCAGGATGTACATATCCTATTGATTATCATACACAAGATTATGTAACTGAAATTCGCAAAATTTCACCAAAAGGTAAATAACCAAAAAGAAATCATTTTCCCTTTCTTTTCACTTGCTTTTCTTGTTTTAAAGGTGTTGATATAATTATGGATCCATTAAATGGAGAAGATAGTGTGCGTGGTTATAATTTACTTAAACCATTTGGTAGAATCATTTATTTCGGTATGTATTGAATCATTTACTTATAATAATTAGCATATAAATATTCACTTTACTATGCATAGGTGCATCAAATGTTACTGCTAGTGGTGAAAATCGTTCATTATTAACAGCATTTAAAACTTGGTATAAATGTTTTTCAACAAATTCAATATCAATTCTATCAGATAATAAAAGTATTGCTGGTTATCATCTAGGTTATTTATTAAAAGATCTTGATAGTACAAAAGATATAGCATTGAATACTATACATGAATTATTTCGATTATATAATGAAGGTGCAATCAAACCAAAAATAGATACTATTTATCCATTGTCAAAAGTTGGTGAAGCTATGCAACGTATGCATAATCGACAAAATATTGGCAAAATTTTATTACAACCTGATGATGAAACTAATGCTAACAAGAATGATCATACAACTAGTGAACAAGAACAAGCACAAGAAAAAATTGAATGATTATTTTCTTGTGTTGTTATTTGAAAAATTAATTAATTATTTTTATTCTAGTTAGTATTTTGTTCCTTTAGTTGAAGTGAAACTTTTCTTTTTTTTCTAAATTAACACTAAAAAAAAGCCATTGAGATAATAAATATGTGCTATTTCGAATCATTCATTATGGTTATCTTTTCAGTTTCTGGAAAAAGAGATGATAGATATTCATCTTATATGTAATGTCAAGCAAAAAACTGCACATTATAAAAAGAGCCAATTATACTTATTTTTAATTTTATGTTGATCTTCTCATTCATAGACATATATCATACTTTGATTGTAACCATTTTTTGGAAATATGAGTAATCAAAAAGAATTTTCATGATAGAATACTTACGATATAAATTCTTATTCAAAAATGACTGGACTTTTCCTAGCTGAGATTCAAGAAGCAGCTTCAATCGCTGGCCAAATGACAATTAATCCATTCAAAAACATCTATGCAATTATCTGTGGTTTGATATGGACTTTTGATGCCGATGCTGAACGTATGCTTTTTATGCTTGATACCGACTGTCCAATACAAAATACCGATTTCAATACAGCATGGTATCAACTTGGTGCTGGTGAATATGATTATGTACCAGCATCCTCATTTATTCAGACTGTTATGCCATTAATTCCACAAACATATATATGATAAAACCAACAAAAACAAAATGACATTAAACTCATACATGTTTATAAATATGTATATATTGCTTTTTGTCATAAGTAGTTGTAATTAAAAGAAATAGGACGATTCAGTATAAATAAAAGAAAGAAAAAGAACAATAAGAACGAATACAATGACATAAACAGACAAACGGCAAAACGTACAATATGCTAAAATATGTGAGTATGATCAAGTTTAGAGAATATATTTAAAAAAAAATTTGTTTAGCTTAAGTCTTTTTTTTATATACTTGTGGTTGTAAATGGTGATGCAGGAACAAAAGCATTATTTATATATGTAAATGAAGCGAATTCGGTTTGATCAATATTCACAATAAGTTGTTTATCGCAAGGCGTTAATTGAATAGATTCACTGGTAAATTCTTCATCAAAATTTGATGTATCATTATTGCTTGCCTAGAAAAAAATGAGAATATCCTCCCTCATAAATTCACAGCAATTGTGATGATTTTTGTAGAAAAACAAAATGAATGTAAATAAAGTTCTATTTCAGTTGCCTTGTCTGTCATGTTTTTTTTGTACTTCAGTTTCATTTTAGCACGGAAAGTTTTTATTCACTGTTGATAAAATGTTATTTTCACACGACTAGAAATCAGCAGGTTATTTCATTACTTTTTCATTATCTTAACTCCGAAAATATTTAATTGACACCGAACATGCTTCTTTTGATTCCGATACTCAAAATAACTTCAAAAATCTTCCAGGTTATGTACATAGTGTGAGCTAAACATAAATATCGTGAAATGGTGTATCCGTTATGAAATGTAATAAATTCACACAGAGAGCTAATGGATCCATATATATATATCAGAGATGTGTAACGCGGTTGGAAACCTACCGCAGCACAGTCCCAAAAGAATCAAGGCTACCGTGCTACTGCCACAATGGTTGTCGAGAAATTTTTCAAAAACCCATTTTGTCACTGTGCTAAATTAGCACAATTAGATTGAGCCCATCAAGTTCGCCACGATTCTGATTGTTGGATCTGTAGCCACTCAAATCCAATGCGAATTCATGCAATTTTACAATTACCTTCAAAAAGAAGCTACCGCGGTGATATTTTTGAAACATTTCTCGTGTCATCATGGCCATCTCTGATATATATCTACAGCGAATACTAAAATTACTCAACAAGATTTATTTTCAATCTTTTCTGCTGTTGTAAGTGCTACAAAGAATTCAAACAGTAATTCGAAGAGAGAAAATTGTTTCCAAAAGGAATATGAGGAAATGCAAATTATTATCAGTTTTCAAGAGACAAGGACTTCAGAAAACCAAAAGACTAGTTTTTTCAGCACCTAGAATGGGTAAATATCATTTTATTTAGACTACATGGAACGAGAGAGCAAACAATTCTCCTAAAAAATGTGATTTCTCTGAGTTCTCTGTGTCATTCATAGCTGACTTACAGCAGTCTTACGAACGCCCCTAAAGTCGGCTATGTTTTTCTTAATTTCCAATAGAAAAAAAAACATTTCTCTTAATCTTTAATCAATTTGTTGTATTTTTGTAAATCTGATAATAATCTTTATCTCTTTATATTCTTGTTCAAAACCATTTTCTCTATTTGAAATTAACGCTGATGACAGTAAAGAAATTTAAAAATAAACCTTGTTGAATAATTTTGGTAATCACTGTATACATATATATATATATATATATAAATTTCCTTTGATAGTCGCATTGACAAAAGTGTTTCTTGTCGTTCTTCTCTTTTCAGATTAATTTTTTATCCAATATTCAAAATACTTATCTCTTTCCATTTATCGAATTGATAAATCTTGTTAAAATAAAATATGTCACAGATTGTTTTGAAATACATATTATCAACAAAAGCAAATAAAACAAAACATGAAAAGACAGACATAAGCAACATAAAGATCTCTTAACAAAAAGAAAAACAAATAATAAAACATTTTTCTATAAACAAAAACAAAAAAAACAATTTTTAAATAAAAAACATATACATGCAAATATTCTACTACCCGAAGAAAAACATCCTGTTTAAACTTGATAATGATTGCCGTTCATTATAAAGAACGAGAGAAATAAAATAGTATACATTAAACCGGATAATATTGTTAACAAAAAAGAACGACCAATATGAGCACAGATACATGGGACTAGCAGACAGAAGAGAACAAAACAAATATGTTCACCAAATCTTTGTTTTTTAAATGAAAATTTCTTTCATAAGATCCTTTGTTCAATCATGAAAAATGGATTATAAAAAGAAAAATTATGAAATGTATCTTCATTGATTGATGCAAGTACAAGTGGATCACATGATGTCATTTTCAATGGATTGTTTGTAAAACATTTATCGAAATTTTCCGCTAGACGAGCATTTTTCTAAAACGAGACAATAACACAACACAACTAATTCTACATAACTAATGGATATTCTATATTCTAAATTCTATTTTAACATGCATCAAAATGAATGAAAAATATAAAAATAACTTATTACATACAATTTTAGGTTTAAATGGAGGTTGTAATTCACGAGCTTCAATTCGTAGCCAGTCGATACGTCGAAAAAAGGAATGATCTTTTATTTCACGTTCACCATCTGTTACATGACAACCAAGTCTTTTTTGAGGATTTTTTGTCATTAACTAAAAACAAATATTTATCATTGACTATGTCGTATCTCCCTTAGAGGAGTATGCCAATCCATTTATTATTATCAAATCATTTATGCTTTTTTCTTTCTCCAATAATTCGAATCTAGGCATATCAATTGATCATTAATAATCAACAACAAAGTCATTTGTCATTGATAACTTCTATATATGAAATTTAACAATTAAGAAGCTTCTCTAAGAAATATTTTATGTAGAGAGTAAACTTGGAATCTGAAATAAGAACTCTTATTCTCTGAAAATCACATACTCCTTTGCAAATGGACACAGCTTCAAATGACATTGATTTTGGATAGGATACATTGTGATCTGTAATAGCTGTAAAAAGTTCTTCTTCATCTTCACCATCAAATGGTGGTTGACCAGCAAGCATTTCAAAGAGTAATACACCATATGCCCACCAATCAACACTTTTACCATATTTTTGATATAAAATGATCTAGATAAGAGACAAAATAAGGTTACATAATGAAAATAAAATTAATTTTATCATATTTACTTCTGGGGCAATATAATCTAGACATAATAAAGAAATTATTTATTTATAAAAAGAACAATTTTATATTAAAATATCGTTTACCTGGTGTTCCACAAAAAGTCGATGTTTTCCTATCATTGATTATTCCTTCTTTACACATTCCAAAACTAAAATAATTTAAAAAATTAATAAATATTATTCTTTTCCGTAAGATTGGTTATTATTCATACTCGGCTATTTTAATATGTCCTTCACTATCCAATAAAATATTATCCAGCTTTAGATCTCTAAAATAAAGAGAATATATATCATTATAAATATTTTATTGATTTATATTCATACCTGTAGATTATACCCTTTTTGTGAAGGTAGAAAAGACCTACTGCAATTTCAGCTGAATAAAAACTAAACAGAAACATAAGGTATATAATTATAACGTATTCAATAGTTAAACAGGTGGAAAATTATTGACGTGGCCGGAACTTCGCCAACAGGGAGCATTCGCCAATGGTAAACTTCTAGGGGTATGTTGAGGAAGATTTTCTCAAGGTGTTACGAAACAATATCAATATAAGATGCATGCAAGGATTGAAGCTTATATTGTTAGAATATATATATATATATATATATCATATCTTACACCCCATGAATGTAATTGATAGAGATATTTTTAATCTATATCTAATTCACAGTCAATTCGGTGAAATTCTAGAACGCGAATCAGTGAGGGAAGATTTTCTTGTCTTCACGTAAATCATTCTGAGATTAATATATTTTTACAAAATTTCAGAATCATAATCATTCCATGAACAGTTATGATTATTAAACAGAGTTTTTTTTTTATAAACAAACCAATCAAAGTTTTCTAATAAAACTTCATTAGTTTGAATCATCCTATATTACAAAATAATCTGTTCATATCTAAGATTTTCTAATGTTGATTTAATCCGAGTGAAATTTTTGCTTCTTCAACTCAGTTCTACTCATAGTTATCCAAAATTAAAACGATCTTTGAAGAATCTATGAATTTAATGTTGCCTATCTCTAAATATTACAAAAAAAGATTAACACTTCTCATTATCAAAGTTGACGTCACAGAAACAACCTTCCTCTTAATAAAAACAGAAGCAAAATAGATCAAATCTATGTCTCTTCAATAAATTATATCATATTATCTTCATATAATCTATCTAAGACAATGATTTATTAGCAATTACAAGCATAATTCATATAACTTTTTCTGCAAGCTGTATTTTTTTCCAAGATGTTCCTATATTGATGGAGGTTGATATTCACAAGTGATGCACAAAACATTTAGATCTATTCTATGCTGGAATTTCAATTTTCAAAGCATTATTGTTATGAATTTACAAGTAATATCAAAATTATTAAATAAGTTGTAGTAATTTAATTACTGGCTTACTACGAGTAACTTTTCCATTTCTATCATTTGTTTTATACCATTATGAATAGAAAAAAAAACAAGTTGTGCAAGTTCTGTTTTATTTCGCTGATTGTAGCGTATAACAATATAAAAAGCGAAGTACCTCTCATAATAACTAGCATTGTTTTTTTTCTCGAATCAAACGATACAATTCTTGCCTTTTTAACTAAATGAAATTAAACCATTTGAACTTTTGAATGTTGCGAATTAGATTAAATAATCTATACTAATAGCATATTAAATATTTCGCAAGATAAGAAAAAATTTCGATCCAATATAACAAGTAATAGATCACTAAGAAGAATCGATGCATAAACATTGATGTACAATTTATGATTATCCTTTTTTTTTCTAAATGAAACTTCATTTGTGAATCTTTCTCGATGCATAATCTTGTCTGAAACATTACTATTAACACATGACAAAAACTTTTTCTAAAATTAATTTAAAAATTTTCATGGCTTTGACATTATTTGTACCTCTATAATAATTATCCATCAAAAGCTGATATTCTAACATAAGGTTAATTATAAATGTTGAGTACATTTATTATGAAAATCAGTTTACATCAATATAAAAACATCCGACAAAAGAATGCTTCTTGAAAGAATTAAAACTTATTTTTACCCTTTTCATTAATACTGAAGGGGTTTATGATTAATTGAATTTCTGATTTTTTTTCTCCCTTGAATAAATAAATCCATATACATTATACCTTAGGGACAATTACTTCTCTTTTAAAAATATAATCAAATATTCATTTACCATGCAACTGGTTCTTTAAATTTTCCTTCATGTTGAATACGATACATGAGATCACCACCATTAACAAATTCCATAACAAAGTATAATCGATCCTAAAAGACAAATGAATTTTTTTATAAGACAAAAAATAGCTTGTTAGTGCAATCCCTCTGGGATTAAAATATGAAACATGATGTAATTGCTGTTACTGATTAAAGACAGATTGTGTTATTCTATCTATTTTAGGATACATTTTTCTTTACCATTATTTCACTTAATCCTCCAGAAGTGCAACAGGAAATTAGTTTATATATATTATAATAAGACGTTATTGATATACGGTCTCTGATCATATATCAAACACGTTTGCCACGGTCTGTCATGAAGGAGAGTCATTGCTACAGATGTTTGTCACGCTTGCAATACGTCGTTGCTATGAATGGCTGCTATGTCTGTGGGAGACAGGAAATGACTTCAAATTTCTACTCCTATACTTCAATACTCCTTCTAGTTAGATCATGTTTCAGAAAAATTCTTTTTTTTTTTGAGACTTTCTATTTACCACTGTTTGAAAACATGAATGAAGTTGTACAAGAAATTTTGGTTTATCATTTAACATTAAAACTCGTTTCTCAATCATTACACATTCAACATCATCATCTTGTACAATAATATCTTTTTTTAAAATTTTTATTGCATATAATTCATCTGCTAATCCTTTATGTTCAGCAAGAACAACCTTGAAAAGAAAAGAAAATTGTTTTTTTAATTTTTGAAAATTAGCCAGTTTTTTTTGTTCTTCACTTACTTTTCCAAATGAACCTTTACCAAGTACTTTAATAAAATTAAAATCTGTTACTTTAACTGCTTGTGTTTGAGAATTGGAACGCATTACTGTTTGATCATTTAAATTAATACTTCCACTACTTGATAGATCAGAACGATTACTCATTTCTCTTACAGTAGGAAGTTTCTAAAATAAAAATAATGAACGATTTCTTTTTTTCTTTTTATCTATAATAATACTCTTTTGCATACAGTTACAGTTGGTTGTCTTATGGGAATTTTTAAACCCTCTTCACTTGGTACAGGTACTGAATAAAAATCTCCTTCGTCTTGTGTTAATAATTTAAACCAGCCTGCAACTGATCCTTTCATTAATTCAGAAACACCTTCATAAAACAAACAAAAAAAAACAGATACCACGAAAAATAAACAAAATAAATTTTACCAAATGATAGTGAACCCATAAAATCATTTCTCGATGTTCTATCCCAATCCCAAACAGCAATTAATAATCGTTTATCTTTATCATCATCCGTTAATTCACTAGAAATCAAAAAATAAATTTCGAATTTTATTATTTTGTTGGTTTTAAACTTACATTGTAAATTTTTCATACCATTGAGGATTTAATGTTGCACGTACTGTTTTTGTTTTATATTTACTTAAATGTTGTTTTTTACTTCCATCTGATGTTGTTGGAATTAATTTTATTTTAACATATGGATCACTCAAACCATTTGGATCCATTGGAATTAAATTTCTTGCTTCAATTACTTCAATAATTAATTTATTTTCACGTTCAAATGTTATACGTAAATGTATTCGGCCTCGACGTTCTGTATGATCAAGACCACATAACTCTGGTACAAGTGTTTGACATTTCTTATGAACATTCATATCACAGCTTTGACATTTAAGACCTTGATGTATGAGTCCATATAGAAGAGATCCACAATGATCACAGAATGTCGGTGACGTATATGTATGAATAAGAAATTTATGATTATTTCGTGGAGCCTAAATTAAAAAACAAAAACAAAAGACTTTTTCATGAATAAATGAAAATAATTCTTACATCTGAATCCGCTCCTTTATCAATACCAGGACATATAAAACTGATAAATTCATGACAACGCTTATGAACAACAAGAGAACAAACTGAAAAAGAAACAAAGAAATATTAAGTAAAAGAACAATCTATTTAAGATATTCTAATATTTAATGAGTTAATTTCAATATCAAAAAAGTTTATTCACCTTTGAATTAAATTTACCAACATATAACAGAAACAAAAAAAAAACAACCAATGTTTTAATCCTAATAAATAAATCTAGTCCTTGGAGAATCTAATCTAATCAAAGTCTCTTGAGATTTGTATAAAGAAATTATAAAAAACAAACAATAAATTAAGCAGATTTATCCTATGATTGATTATCTATATGTGAAATCTCAATACAATTCAACTTACTTTGACATTGAAATCCTTGTTTACCAAAACCCCTATAGAAAACAAATATTAATTAATTTATAATTCCCAAAAAAAGACAAAAACAAAAGCTTATTACCAAATAAAATCTCGACAATGAGAACAAAATGTGGGTGTTTTGAAAAATCTTGGAATAAATTGATGCGATTTGACAGTATAAATATTCTTTTGTCTTAATGCACCACGTCGTGCGATTGCTTGTTTTTTTTCAACAAACGGAGATAAACTTGATGAACTTGCTGAAAACTTTTTACTACTTGAATTCGATGATGATGATGAATCAACAGGAAATAAATGTGATGATGTACTACGTCGAGATATGGAAGATTCTTGAGAATTTTTTAATGCTTCATTATTTCGATTTCCACTTGTTGTTGCCGCCATAGTCTGATTTGATGATGACAATGTTTTTGTTGTTACTTCACTAGTTGTAAGTGTCTCACGAAAGAGACCGATTGCTTCGACAAAAGCGGCACAGGTTGGTGCTATAGGCAGAGGAAAAGAGATAAGCCAAAGAAAAATGAATGTCAATCGTAGATATAAATTGATTGTCAGTAGAAAAAAAAAATTAACGGTGGGAAAAAAGCAACAACGACTTTTGACTGCGCTATGTTACGGACAGACTTTTTTTATTGCTGTTAATGTGACATCATCAAAAATCTAACAATAAAGACGAAGGTTCTTGTCGTGTAAACATATATACGCCAAATTATCTCTTTTCATCAAACTAATATTTTTTTTTTCCTAAGTCGGCTTTTGTTTCATAAAAAGCAGAAAAGAAGAATTATCAAAAACAGAACAAAAACATTTACTTTCAATTGAAATATATTGATGCTGGTCTTAAATAAAAGAAAGAAAACTAAGAATGAAACATTTTTGCCTTTTTTATTTTTATCTCTATTAAAAATAGAAAAACCCTCGATAAGATATAATAAATATATTAACTAAAATTTTCGTCATCAGTTTTCATACGTCACCTGATAGATGTGAAATAAGTAATTATTATTAGAGAAAGCTTTCTATTTTTATTATGAACATGAAATATTACTTGTACATACTTGGCAAAAATGAGACTTGTAAAATGAGAACATAAGACAGAACCGAAGGAAATAATAAGCGTTTACATATTTCTTATTGTTACTAATTAACTTTTGTCGTTATTTTCTTGTTTTTTTTATATCGATGCTTACACTGACAAGAAGATTCAATTTCACGTTAAATCATAAACAGAAACTACCTATGTTTCTTTCTTTGATATCTATTATGGCATAAGAACAGCTGCTAAGTATAGATATGAGGCACGTCTAATGGCGTACAGTATCTGAGAAAGTTTCTTTTTTTGTTTTCTTCTAATTGAGCGTGAATAATACCTGTACAAGCCATGCCTTCAGCAAGCGAACGTCTTTGTTGTTGAGTGCGTAGCTTTTGTTGGTCAAGTGTTTTTTTATTGAAATTCATTATTTAAAAGATTTGATACGACGACAATTCATAATATACGTAAAATGTAACTAGTTTCCAATCAATATATGTATATATAATTAATATATAGATTCCGGTAAAGTTATTTTATCTAGTTGTCGATTTGTTCGTCTCTCATGCGTTTTAACTATGATATCAATAAATAATGCGGCAAATCGTTGAGACACGCAAAACATGCATAGGAGTTAAGCATAAAGCAACAGCAGAAGCAATAAACTTCTTCCGCTGTTTGCTGCTCAATGAATCTATAGATAAATAAACTCAATGATGAAAGATGTTTGTAGTGATGATGATGATGATGATGATGATGATAATGATGATGATAATGATGATGCAGTGAAAGATCACAACTAGGAAGCGACAATTCGTAATCGTAGTTAGCTATATTGTCTTTTGGAATTTCATTTTCGACAAATAGAAAATATTGAACGCAGAACACATGTTACAAAAGAGGACAACTACGCAAAGTATTTCTGTTCGGTGGGCATTACCACCACTACACTACGTATCATTATCGAAAAGCACACAATAATTTTCTTCTAGTATTTTTCTCCATTCGCTTTGCTTTATATTTTCTTCCGCCATCGTCTCGTCTCTCTCTCTCTCTCGCTTATACTACTATAGATTTTCTTGGCCTTGCATAATTATTCGGCAACAGAGCACTCTCATCAACCACGTGCATTGAATAGAAGAAACTGATAACTTACAGACTAGAACGCATAAATAAGGACGACCGATTTCTTTTTACAAGTTCTCGACTAATACTACTATTGTCATCAATTGAGGATAAACAATAAGGTCTGATTTCTTTTTTTAGTATATTCTATCTTTTCCTTACAGTTAGATATCCATATGTAATGATCAAGCAATTTTCTTTTATGTATTGGCAAAAAAGATGCAGTAGACAAGTCTTTCTATTAGATTATTTTGTTGTATGTAAAGTTTATTCTCTTTCTTTTCCAAGATTCATATGGATAATTTCGTTGATGTTTCAATTAATGTAATGTTCTAGTAAAGATTCAAACAACTTCATTACCTCATTTTTAACATACCACCATTTGGCAACTAATAAAGTTCATTTTAGTTTTTTTAATACATTTATATAGATGAATATTCATCATTGAACACTATTATTCGTTAACTTCTACACCCACTCTGATTTCCTGGAGAGTTTTGACAGTAACAATTAGGATAGATGATTCATAATGAAACTTACAAACATAATCAATATTCTAATTGTAGAAAACAAAACTGTGTTTGATGCTGTTTAAATATAGAATGCTTTTTCATATGCGCATACAAACATACAAAAGCAAGAAAAGATGCGAACGACTAGCGAGTAATGAAATCTCCTGCATGTACAATCTTTCTCGCATCATTCGTTTCTCGTACTGTGCTTGTTGTTGTTATTATTATGATTATTATTATTATTATTGTAGATACGCATTTGTATGTAACAAAGAAAGACGAGAACTAGGGAAAAAAAGAGACTATATAACAAAAATAGCAAATACGGATTGCGTGCGATCGTATGCGGCAATTCGATTACGCAAAAAAGACGAGTTTATCATCGTTGACTTTCTAATAAAGCAAATATGTTGTGCGCGAGTTGTCTTTTAGTTCTGCTAACCCGATTTTGAACGAAGTCGAAAGAGAAATAGTACATCAATTAGAGTTAATATTATAACAAAAAAAAATAGAAAGACTTTTTGCTTTTCTTTAATAAATAGATGTAAATGTGACTATGAGTTCTTACAGACGATTGAATTCAAGTTTAGTATTTTTCATCAAAATTATACTTTTGCTTGGCTTATCTTCTGTTCACGTCACTTAGAATGAAATTGAACAAATAAGAAGAAAATGAAAAAAAAGGAAATGATCAGAATATGCATGTAACACGTAGCTATTGAACAAGAAACTTTATTAGAATTTTTCAACTAGATTCTAATCGAGACATGTCGATGGTTGAATTAGAATGATCGACTTTATGACTATTGTGACGATAAAAGATAAAAAGAGAATAATCACGACAGCATGACACGCATCGCATGCACACTCATCGATTTGCTCTGTTCTTCTGGTATTCATCTAATTTGGTTATTGCGGAACTGTCCTTCCCTAGAGACGACGACCAGAGTGCACAACAAAGTTGCCTACTACTTTGTTGTTCTTATCTTTTCAGTCTGTGGAGAGCTCTCGGCCGTTCTCTTTCATCGCTCGCACAGCTTTAAATGCATGATCGCAACGATGTCAACAACGAAGAATAATGCACACACGCATACAACGTATTTAGACGTATTAGACATAAGGATACTATAGTACTTCAACTCGGAAGACACATATACATAGTTAGATATGTTTTCTGCTTGAATAGTCAACCTAATGAGAGCAAATATTTAATTGATCAAATTTAAAATAGTTAACCGCGATAATAATGGTAATGACTCATTGAAAATACATAATAAATAATTGTATACAGGACTCAATATCTTTGCTACATACAAATACAAGTTATCAGCACTTATTCATTTAGTTTATTAATGACTTACTTGAAAAAAACAAGAAGAAAAAATAGAAAATGACAGGTTAATAATTCAAAACAATCATGACATATTTGTATTAATATTTATTGTCGAATAAATTTGATAAGCATAAATCTAAAATGTATATCAAGTGGCTAGTTGCACGAACAAGTAATACTATATCTCTATTTTCTCTGACATCTTTTGTTTAGGTCGTCTAAGAAAAGATCATTAGTAAAATAATGAAAAAATTGTAAGATGCAAATGAAAAAAAAAAGAAAAAAAATTGTAACAGTAAGGGAAAGAATAAAAACGTCGGCCAGAAAGCGTGAAAATGCTTCTGAGATTTTGGCTCATCGTTGCCGACATTTTTATCCTATCATCTAAATTCATTATATTAGATAGAATAAATGAAAAAATGAGAGAAGAAGACAGGAAAAAGAGAAAACGAGAACATCAGGCATTGCTACATTCTATTACGTTACTACTTTTCTATTTTTTGCCTTTTTTTCTCATTGCTAGTTTGTCATTGATGAACATGACTATCGTGAACAATATAACTCTAACTGTCGACAAATCATCTATCCATAAAAATGTCTGTAATTCGTCGATCTAAAAATTCTTATATTAAATCTGACAGCATACATAAACATGCATATATAGACATTGAAACTTGCTTATTTGTGTCAGCTTTTTTTATTGCTTTTCCTCTTCTTTATCAATTCACGAATAACAAGTTTGCTTGCCTATTCGAACAAGACAAGTGGAATAGAGAGTGATGATTGTCATTATCGAATGATAATCTTCGTAGGACATAAGCCAACATCACGCGATCATCGATCACCAATAAGCATTCCTATCTTTCTCTATCCCTCTCTCTTCTTTGCCCATTCTTTCCGTTTATTGTTGCCACTACTAAAGCTAGTATATAATACTGTTTTGCTAATCCGTCTATTCGAAGTCATCTGTAAAATATTCCTTCTTTTTTTCTTTAATTGAAAAAAATTGATCATTCAGACTTGCATTAAGGAAATAATTCTGTCATTGCTTACCGACTTAATCTTGTGTCACAGAAAAGAGTTATTTGTCTTTTTTTGTAACATGCACTATCATAATTCGCCACTGCTGCACACGACGACGGTGATGAAAAACGAGAAAGCCTGACAGTTTTGCTTGCTTTCTGTCTTTACTATACTTGTTTATGATACTCTCTCTCTTCCACTACATGCACATTCTTTATGTCAATATAGACAAAATGAAAAAGAGAGAAACTCGTTTAAGTAGTGACGATGAAAAGCAATAGAATATAACTATGTTATACAGTGTGTGTCGTCATATGCTTCTCCATCACGTATATTCTCTCAAAGAAAAATCAGGATTCTT